GCGGACGGCTTTGTGGTTTGTCTCACAGCGGGGCAGAGGGTCTCTCAGCTCCTGACGGGGCAACCCTGTCCTTGTCCTCCACGCCTGGAACACCGGCCAGTAGCGGGGCCTCGCAGCTCCCCGGTGACAGGTGACGGCGACGGGCTGAACAGGAACAGGGACGGCTGCCGTGTGGGGAGCTGGGTTGCGGCCGGGCGGGGTTCCCTGACCAGTCCCAGTAGCACGCACCCCTCGAAGGTGCAGCCGAGCGCCACACCAGCAGGGCTGCTGGGAGGAAGAGCTGGCGGGCCAGGGCCTCTGTGCACTCGGCCGCGGGTTCCGAGCAGAGGCATGGCGAGGCCACCCTGCGTCCAGGTTTGCCCCTGCGGCCCTGGCCCTTTCTTCCTTCTGGAAGTTGTCCGGCTTGCTGACACACTGCGCGGACACTCTATGCTCCGATAATGGCACAGGCAGGGAGCGGAGAGCTGCAGGGGCCGAGCTGGGTCCGCGGGCTCCGGAAGGTTCCCCAGGCTTTGTCTCAGCGTCCTGGAATCTGGAGGGCTGTGTCTGTGAGTGCCAGGCTCTTCACGGCCAACACGAAGAGACTATTACTAAGATAGAAGTTATATGCTAAGTCAAGTCAGACAGAGAAAGATGTATACTGCATGATTTCACATACATGCGGAGTCTCGAAACAAAATAAATGAGCAAACAAAGCAGACACAGACCCACAGATACACAGAACAAGCGGATGGTCGCCGCATGGGGAGGGGAGGGGGGAGGGCGGAGACGAAAGGTGAAGAAACATTAAAAAGAAAAATTGTCGACTGATAATTATAACCTACGCGTTGATACGGCAGAGATGCTTCTTCTATGTTATAGAAACCGTCTAGATGAGGCGCGACTAATTGTCCTATGTGTGTTTCTTCTGATCCTTGTTCGGCTAGTAGCGGTTTTTATAACTGCTAGTTGGCTGATAACCATCTGAATCAAAATGGATTTAATTTTGTCCGTTAATCATTTCCTCGCGCGAAGTCAAATATTTAAATTAGCTTCAAAAATATTACAAGAGACCCTCTCCTCCTTCCATGTAACTTCCATAAAAATCAGATTATTAATCAATAGAATGTCTTGGAAGTATAGAGAGTAAAAAAAGCAGAGAGAATGTTTACAATACATAGAGAACCCCAGACTGCTAGCAATGGGATAGCACATAGAAAAGCAAGATAGAACAAAATTCTGAGAGAAGGAATTGCATTTAACAGCTAGAAATCCGTTCACGAATCCATGAAAACCGAAATTGCTCCAGAAGAAACCAGATCTAATGTTACAGATATCTTTTAGACAGTATTTAGACATGCGAAAGGCTTCTGTTTTATGCCTCAAAGTGACAAACACGGAAATAAATATGGTAAGTTCATATGATAAGGGGGAAAAAAAAAGACATGATCACATGTTTGTTCTTCGTCCTTCAGCGGCCCGGAAGCTCAGTGGACAAGTCAGAATAACAAACGTCCGGTATTCAGAAGCCTTTGCCGACACCAGCAGCAAGGAGGCCCAGGGCTTCCTGGAGCTGTTCTTTAGGGTGGTAAGTTGGTGAACTTGGCCTTATTTCCTTTCGGGATGTGTAGGAGGAGGCGGGTAGGATCCGAGCTGCAGCCAAGTAGGACTTAAAGCCATAGTTCTGTGGACCCCTTGCTTCCGAAGGAAGCTAGGACTTCCAGCTCTGGCATGGTGCCTGCCTTGTCCTTGGATCTGCCATGAAAAGGACACGTCAGTGGGTGGGAGGCACACCTTTTCCTCTGCGGCACCCTCGCCTCCCACTGTTCCCCGTTCAGTGAACCGTCTTCATCGGGGCGGGACCCCTTGAAGCAGAAAGCCCCTCCCCCGCCTTAAAAAGAAAACTTAAAAAAAAAAAGTGAGATCCGTTTCATGCGCCATAAAACTCATCGTTTTAAAGTGCACAACTCGGTGGCTTAGATTGTATCCGCGACACTGTGTGACCGTCACAAGCATGTAATTCCAGAGCATTTCCGTCACCCCAAAAAGAAAGCCTGCACCCATCAGCAGTGGCTCTCATTCCTCCTCTCGGGCCCGGCAACCACTAAGGGGCCTCCTGTCTCTACGGGTTTGCCTGTTCTCGGCCCGTCGTAGAAACGTGACCTTTGCTATCTGGCTTATGTCACGGAGCATTGTGTTCAAGGTTCATTCACGTCGTAGCAATCGGAACCTCGTTCCTTTTCATGGCTGAATAGTATTCCATCACATGGCCGGACCATATTTTGTTTATCCGGTCATTCGCTGATGGACATTTGGGCTGTTGCCACTTTCTGGCTATCGTGAATAGTGCTGCTCTGATCCCCCCTTAAATAATTCCTCCTGCTCTTCCCTCCTCCCCTACCCCCGCCACCCGTTAGCATTCTTCGGGGTGGTATATGGTTGCGACTTAGTCAAGGCAGCAATTTCCACATTCTTGTCGACAGAGGTTAGATGTCTCTTTGATTCCTAGAGGACACACGTGTCGTGATCCAGTGGTCCTGTTTGCACAGTGGAAACCTCGTGCATTTCAGCTTTTCCCCATTCTGGGAGTGAGACACACAGTAGCGAGGTCTTGGCAGCGCCACCTGGTGGCGGAGTGTGCGACATGACAGTGTCTTAGCAATGCAGGAGGCCCCAGGGGGGTAGGGGGGCATTACCTCGCCATAAAACAGTCAGGCTGCCTCCAGGAACTGTCCCGTTGAGGCACCTCGAGGTCTGGTGTTCTGCATTGTTTATCCTGGGACCCCCAGCTCTTGGGGGATCCCAAAGTTGCTGATGGTTTGATTCATTTGCGTATCCATCTGCTTTAGGATAGTCACGTATGATATTAAGCTCCGAAACCGGCCCACGTGGCTCTAGCGGCCGTGCGAGGGAGCTTCATTTTCCCCCAGTTTCTCGACTCATCTTTCCTCTTTAAACCATTTCCTCTTGGCTATTTTGGGGGACAGCTTTTTGTGGATGTTCGTTTGTCTAGAGTTTCAGGGTAGCGAATAATTAATCAACTTATCGCATATGGAGGAATTTAAGACAAGTTTTGGGAGGTTGCAAGTTCAATGGGCACCTTGTTGTCTGTAACTTCCTAGCAAGGGGCCTGGAACTTGACTTTGAGATCGGTTTGAAAAGCAACTAAAGGTAAAGTTAGTCCAAGACTGTGACAAGTCTCTCTCAGGAAGTCCCAGGAGAACAAGAGAGACTCATGAAGGAGGGATGGATAGAGGATAGATAGAGGATGATAGAGATAGATAGATAGATAGATAGATAGATAGATAGATAGATAGACAGACAGATAGATAGACAGACAGATAGATATAGACAGACAGACACACGGATGGCAGACAAGAGCTGACCGTTCAACAGCAGTGTTGTCAGCCACGTGACCGCAGGCAGCTGCTGGTTTCTCGGGGCCTCTGCAGCCTCCGATGGGTGACAGGTGACCTGCTCAGGTTGACTGTCCCAAGGCTGGCAAGTGAATCCAGGCACCTGTGCCTGGAGGACCTTGAATGGTGCAGACGAGGTCAAGGTTTGCTCTGTGAGGGCGAAGGCTGGAGGCGCGCTGCTCCTTGGAAGGTTCGTGTCGTTGGGGCCACGTGGAGCGCCTTACGCGGTGGGGTGAGGGCGGTCCAGTGCGTGCTGCGGGGCCCCGACCCCAGTGGCAGAACAGACGCAAGGCTTTCGGAGGTAGGAACAGTCTGCCCAATGGGGTGGGGGGCGGCCTGGGGAAGCAGTTTTCGGAAAAGTAAGAAGGAAGAATGGAAGGGCTAATGTTCTATAGGATCAGGAGCAAAAGGATTGTTCTAGAATGAGCCAAGTGGGGAGTCGGGGTCCCTCCCATGACTACTCGGTTAGACCCCTGCCCCCCATGGCTCTGAGCGGAGGGTACAGACTCTAAATGTGTTGTCAGCCTCCTACTAAGTGACAAGCCTCTAGGGTAGGGCTTTGCATCGGACCCCACACTGACCAGAGCAGTGGGGACAGGGCTCCTCCCCCGTCTCAGACGGCACCAGCAGACAGGAGGGGCCCAGAGCTGACCCGTGGCTTCGACCTTCCGCCGCAGGCCACCCTGCCGCTGGCCGGAACTCGGGGAAGCGCCGCCCTGGGACGAGCACCTTCCTCTCAGTGGGCGGCCCCTCTCACCAGCTCTGTTTCTCGGAAGGTGCGGGATTCCTTGCCGGCCACCATGCGCCAGCACCTGGACACGGGCGGGGTGCAGGTGGAAGTGGCCCGCATCGCCAACGGCAGCGTCGTGGTCGAGTTTCACCTGCTGATCGTCTTGGACGTGGGCGT